AGAGTGACTAGGAAAACAATGTTGATTTAACGCTGGCAATTTGAAACATAGGCTGCACAGCTGTTTCAGACAGAAATACCAAGATAAATTCAGAAGCAACCTCTGCTCTGACAGATTAATAAAATACCAGGAATTCTTTGAGCTTTTTAGAGGAAGAGGTCACTAAAGAGCCCTAAAAATATGAGATGCTCTACATAAAAATACAGGAAAAGCTCACAACTGCCTGTTATCAAGTAAACTCTTTTAAAAGATAGCGTGGCTTTTTTTACAGACAAGACAAAGTAAGTATTAGACAAAACAGTAAAGAATCAAATAACTCCTCTTGACACAAAACAAAAAGCATCAGAAAATCTGCCAATGGTAGAAATTTCCATTACCTTCAAAATGGCCAAATTTTTAAAAATGAGCTAATAAGAAAAATACAAGTCGGTCAAATGCTAAAATTTAGAATTCATAAACGCATTAGAGTTTACAGGGATGGTAGCCAGTCACATGGAAAATGCACACTTTTCACAGAGCAGAAATTAATTAGGCAGGTAGGAAAAGCTTGAAAGCAGACAGACTGAATGGGTGCCACCATGTTGGTCATTGATTTGAATCCCCCTCTAATGTATGACTGAATAAGGAGATCCACATTCTCCAGAATAAAGAAGTCCATAGATCAGGGATGGCCAAACCACAGCTCATGAGCCACAAGAGGCTCTTTTACAGTTAAAATGTGGCTCTCAGGGACCCAGATAGCCCCCCATTCTCCACCTACCAGATTGAGGGAAAGGTGAGAGCTATGGATCTCTGCCTTGCAGAGGAGTTGGAGCTGCTTCCCAGTCGGGAGTTGGTCTCAGGGCTTCAGCCCCTTGCAGCATACCTGTCAGGGCATGGGGCTTTAGTAGGAGCAGAACTGAAGCCTCAAGTGTCGGCAGGCACCTCCCGTGGGCATAAGCGCAGACTTCCCCTCTAATCTGGGGGTCCTTACCCCCTTTGTTCCCTTCACCCCCAGCCCCACTCTCATTCCACCCCTTCTATCAAGACTCTGCCCCACCGATTTCCCATCTCCTCCCCCAAGCATACCACGTCTCCATTCCTACCTCTCTTCCCATATGCCACAGACACACTAGTTTGCAGTGGGTGGGAGGTGCTGGGAGGGAGTTGAGGAGTTGGTCAGCAGGGCTACTGGCAGGTGAAAAGACCTGGGTGAGTAAAAGGGAGATTTAAGCACCTACTAATTTTTACCTATGGGTGCTCCAGCCCTGCAGCACTCACAGAGTTGGTGCCTATGCACAGGGCACAGAAGCCTCAAGACCCAGCAGGTGTGCCCCAGTTTTCAAACATCTGAAGATTGTCATATGCTTCTTGGAGGGTCGGTAAGTTTGCCCACCTCTGCCAAAGATCCTAACACTGTTTCTTATATATCTGCCAGCTGTGTATTTGCAGTCTCTGTAGTCACTGGTAATAAAACAATGATTCTACCATTCCATTAATGATATTTTTGCACAATTAAAATCAGAAAAACCCTGCATTTTGGCTGGGTTTCAGAGAATGAGTCCGTTTACTGATATTGCTTCAACTCCAGAGAGTCCAGTATTCTCTGCGTAGCCTCAATGAATCAGGGCCTTTTCATTGTCTGCTCCAAACCCCAGTGGAAAATAATGTGGATTAATTTGTAGACGAGTGTTGCAGGAGTTAGCTCTTTGCTGAAAGTCCCTCCCTGCACACTCCCTAACTGGAAAAATGATAGACTGATAGACAAGATAATAGTAGAATTGATTGCATGGATTTGATCCTCCTACCATCCACCTCAAAAAGGGAAATACTCTTATTCAATGTAAAAGCCCAGTCATTAATTATTCATACCAATGCAGGTCTTGCTTACTTTTCCAGGGGTTACAGCAATGTCAAGTGAAAACATGTCAGGCTGCCAAGAGATGCCAATGATGTGGAATAATTCTTCTGGAGATGATACATTTAGCCCCTCATTTGATAATGCTGATGAAACTACTCCTTAGAGGAGTACATTTGAAATTCTTACGTTTCTTTACAGATTGTCATACAAACTTTATGCTTAACTTCTGGAAAACTGAAAAATTAAACCAAAATCAGTATTTTATTTTTAATTTTATTACAGTATAACTAGGGGGCTGTAACCCCTGCTCACTATGCTCACCAACCCCCTCTCTTGGGGGCAAAGGTCAGCAACCTTTTCAAACCAAAGAGCCAAACTACATCAACATTCAGAACAACTGGTCAACAAAGAGCCGTGTAAGAATCATTGAATCACAGAATACTTAGGACTAGAAGGGACCTCAAGAGGTCATCGAGTCCAGTCCCCTGCCCTCATGGTACTGTCTAGATCATCCCTGATAGATATTTTTCTAATCTGCTCTTAAATATCTCCAGAGATGGAGATTCCACAACTTCCCTAGGCAATTTATTCCAGTGTTTAACCTCCCAGACAGTTAGGAACTTTTTACTAATGTCCAACCTAAACTTCCCTTGCTGCAGTTTGAGCCCATTGCTTCTTGTTCTATCTTCAGAGGCCAGGAAGAACAATTTTTCTCCCTCTGTGTGACATCCTTTTAGATACCTAAAAAATCTTATCATATCCCCTCCCAATCATCTCTTTTCCAAACTAAACAAGCCCAATTCTTTCAGTCTTCCTTCATAGTTCCTTCATTCTCATGTTCTCTAGACCTTTAATCATTCTTGTTGCTCTTCTCTGGACCTTCTCCAATTTCTCCACATCTTTCTTGAAATGTGGTGCCCAGAACTGGACGCAATACTCCAACTGAGGCCTAATCAGCACAGATTAGAGAGGAAGAATGACTTCTTGTGTCTTGCTCACAACACATCTGATAATGCATCCTAGAATCATGTTTGCTTTTTTTGCAACAGCGTCACACTGTTGACTCATATTTAGCTTGTGGTCCACTATAAACCCTAGATCCCTCTCTGCCATACACCTTCCTAGACAGTTGCTTCCCATCTGTACATGAGAAACTGATTGTTCCTTCCTAAGTGGAGCACTTTGCATTTGTCCTTATTAAACTTCATCCTGTTTACTTCAGATCATTTCTCCAATCTGTCCAGATCATTTTGAATTATGACCTTGTCCTCCAAAGCAGTTACATCCCCTCCCAGCTTGGTATCATCTGCACACTTAATATGCGTACTCTCTATGCCAATATCTAAATTGTTGATGAAGATATTGAAAAGAGCAGGTCCCAAAACAGACCTCTGTAGAACCCCACTTGTTATAGCTTTCCAGCAGGATTGTGAACCATTAATAACTACTCTCTGAGAATGGTTATCTAGCCAGTTATGCACCCACCATATAGTAGCCCTATCTAAGTTGTATTTGCCTAGTTCATTGATAAAAATATCATGTGAAACCATATCAAATGCCTTACTAAAGTCTAGGTATACCACGTCCACCACTTCTCCCTTATCCACAAGACTCATTATCCTAACAAAGAAAGCTATCAGATTAGTTTGACATGATTTGTTCTTTACAAATCCATGCTGGCTGTTCCCTATCACCTTATTATCTTCCAAGTGTTTGCAGATGATTTCCTTAATTACTTGTTCCTTTGTCTTTCCTGGCACAGAAGTTAACCTGTAATATCCTGGGTTGTTCTTATTTCCTTTTTTATAGATGGGCACTATATTTGCTCTTATCCAGTCTTCTGGAATCTCTCCTGTCTTCCATGATTTTCCACAGATGATAGCTAAAGTCTCAGATACCTCCTCTGTCAACTCCTTGAGTATTCTAGGATTCATTTCATCAGGCCCTGGTGAGTTGCAGACATCTAATTTTTCTAAGTGATTCTTTTTTTTATTTTATCTTCTAAACCTACCCCCTTCCCACTAGCATTCACTATGCTAGGCATTCCTTTATCAGACTTCTCGGTGAAGACTGAAACAAAGAAGTCATAAAGCATATTTGTCATTTCCAAGTTTCCTGTTACTGTTACTCTCTCCTCACTGAGCAATGGGCCTACCCTGTCCTCGATCTTCCTCTGGCTTCTAATGTATTTATAAAAAGTCTTCTTGTTTCTTTTTATGGCTGTAGCTAGTTTGAGCTCATTTTGTGCCTTTGCCTTTCTAATCTTGCTCCTGCATTCCTGTATTGTTTTCCTATATTCATCCTTTGTAATTTGTCCTAGTTTCCACTTTTTATATAACTCCTTTTTCATTTTCAGATCATGCAAGAATGCCCATTTGCATGACTGAAAATATACAGATTAATATTATGGATAATTGACATAATGATTAATCTCTCTATATAAAAAAGTTTTCCTGCTGGAGGACAGAATGACATCATCAGCGTCAGCAGAGTGTGATGGGGAAGCAGCATGACCCCACCCACACTTCAGCTCCAGAATGCCTGTTCTAGGCATTCTGGGGGTGGAGTGTTGCTGCTCCCAGCACCTGCCCTCCATGGTGCTCCAGGGGCTGTGCTGGTGGCGGCCTCTCCCTCCGCTTTCCCCAGTGCTCTGCGGAAAGGAGCAGGCTGGAGGTGCGGGGTCTCTTCAGGGCAGGGAGTTCATGAGGTACTGGTGGTGCAGGGTCTGGGCCTGAGGAGATGGGGGGCACTTGTTTTTGCCCCACATGCCACTGCCAGGCACCACTGGAGCAGTGGGAAAATCTTCCAGGAAGTGTGTACACGTGCTGCTCTTCCCCCAGCTAGGGGAGGGGAAAGGGAAATGGCAGTGCGCAGAATTGGCAAGCCAGATCTGGTAGGGAGGCTTGGGGCTCCCTCCCGTCTCCGCCTCAGGATGCTGATGCTTTAACCTTGCAGGGGGAGTTGGTGTAAGGCTTGAGTGCCAGCATGGACTCCCTGCTGTGGGGGAGAAGGAGGGACTGAGCTGGAACTGGTGAGTGAGGGGGATGGGTGGAGGGGCAGGAGCGAGGAAGTCGCGAGCAGGGCAAGCTAGGAACTCATCGTGTCCTGCCTCTGTGGCCCAGGCTGCCCATGGGCTTCCTTCTGCTTTGGCTCTGCCTACCTGCACACCAAGCCTGTTGACACTTATGTGATTACATCACTCTGTCACCCTGCAGGAAAAAAACATATATTTATAGAAATACTATCTAAACTTGTCACTAATTGCAAAGATTAGCAGATTGTTCTAGAGCCCATTTATGAGCACTGTATCAACATTATAAAGACTGCTGATGTAAAACTGCTTAATGCACCAAAAAGGCAAACTGTGCATGTGATAAAAGGTTGGTACTGCCCCAAACTTGTGTTCACTCCCTCATGTATACCGGAGTCTATGATGCTGCAAAGTAGTATCACCAATATACAGATAGCATGTAGCTGTATTTCTCTTGCACCATAGACCCTGCAGTTTCAGTCTTTTCTCTGGTGCAGTGCTTGCATTCTCAACTCTAGGGACACATAAGGCTGGCTGATGGGTAAAAGTAGTTCATATAAGTGTAGACCTTCTACCAGGTGCCATTAGGAGCAGTAAAGGGACAATGCTGTGTAAGAGTTTCTTCTAAATAAACAGAATGATTGCCTCAAGCTCCATCCATATGCTCATACACTTAAATTTTAGGAACTTAATATTTAACACCTCAAAAACATATTTAATAGTGTTTCCTCCTCACTTTCAAATATTCAGTTGTCTTTAGGTACATGAAACCATATACACCTCTTAACTGGAAAAAACTGTAATAATCATATATTTATGTAAAATAAAATTAGCTAACTCAGACTGTGAGAGGAGTCTGGCCAATCCCATAGTCCCAGTAAGTAATTGCTCAGCTTGCTGAGGTCCAGAGAAATTTAATTTACAAAACAATATGCACTCATGAATCCCATTAGACTCAGGCTATGTCTACACTGCACAGTTATTTCAGAATAAGCTATTCTGAAATAGTTATTCCAAAATAGTTTATTTCAAAATAGCACATCTACACAGCAGGGAAGCCTCAAAATTAGTCTGAGGCAAGCTTCAGACTACCTCGATGTAGGCATGCTATTACGATTTAGAGCTGCAGGAGAAATAACTTAGAATGGCCCTGGTGAGGGGCTATTTTGAAGTAGCAGAAGTGGAGCGTTAACACAGGCCTTATTACGAAATAGCAATTTCAGAATAGGCATTATTCTTTGTAGAATGAGGTTTACAGAAGTCAGAATAAGCCATCTATTATTTCAAAATTATTTTGAAATAACAGAATTGCTGTGTAGACGCTTGCATAGTTATTTCAGCATAATAGTCATTATTCTGAAATAACTTTGCTGTGTAGACATACCCTCAGTGATGTCAAGTAAATGTCAAGATACTGTTCTCTCCAGCTCTGAAGCTATTTGTTTCAGTCCCACAAATTAGCTCTACTGCTGCCCGGTCCTGTCCAACTAAGTCAGTTCTATTTAGAACTGTCTGAGAGTCTGTAGGCAGGAAATGAAATGAAATGAAAACTCCTTGATCGTTTTGCAGTCTTTCAAACACAGCCCTACCCACTCAGACAGTGTCCATTCACTCCTCTTGTTGAATGTGAACTACTTAGGTAATCAAAATCCACTATCTGTCAGCTCGAGTGTCCCACGTACCTCAGGCTATGCCTTTCGCAGCTTCATCCTCTTATATAAATACATTTACATGCAGGAAATCATCATTCCCAAAACATAAGGCAAACAGGCTCCAACCAATAGTTACAGAAGATGGCACAGAAATGCACTGGGACAAAATTATAATCATGTAAGTTAAGCCTGGAGGTTATGTCTACACTGAGCAATTAAAAACCCATGGCTAGTCCACGTCAGCTGACTCAGGCTCTCATTGCTCAGGGTAAGGAGCCCTTTAACTTCAGTGTAGATGTTCAAGGTTGGGCAGAAGACTGAGCTCTGGAATCTTCCCCACTCACAAAGACCCGGAACCCAGACCCCAGCCCATGTAGCTACACACAATCTGTGACTAGCACATGTCAGTGACTCAGGCTCTCAGTGCTCTGGCTATGGGCTGTTTTAATTGTATGTAGATACTTGGGCTGGAATCTGATCTCTGGGACCCTGTAAGTGAGGAAGGTCCCAGGGCTCAAGCTTCATCCTAATCCTGAACATCTACACTGCAGTTAAAGGGCTCCTTATCTGAGCACTGAGAGCCTAAATCAGCTAACATGGGCCAGCCACTAATTTTTAACAGCAGTTCAGACAGACCCAGAGAGTTTATTTTTTCCTCTTTCTCCTACAGAGAGAGCATAGAGCTTTCTACCTCTGGGGCTTACCTCAGGAATATAAGAACTGTCATACTGGGACAGCCAGAGTTCTATCTAGTCTAGTATCCCTCCTTAGTTTACTTGGAGGCAGTGGACCAGATTAAGAATCTCACTGTCATTTTCAGGACAAGCTCCCACATGCTGAATATGGTATAAACGTCTCTTTCCAAGTTGTACACTTTGCTCCTCCCTGCTGGCAACGTTGGAAACTTTATGACCACAAAGTTTGGTTACTATAACTCTGTCTTCACGGCACTCTCAGCTCCTCATTTTCAGTTTGTTCAGGATGCAACTACACATTTTCTTACTCACTGATTTGATCAGCTGTGTGTATAAAGTGCCCACATTCCAAACTTTACCTTGGTTGCCTATAAATTAGCAGAGATATAGGCTGGCACAGTTGGTTTTAAGTGTGCTGGCCCAGCCTATATTTCAGTATATGCTTTTTGTATTGTAAAAATAGTAAAGGAAGTTTTTTTCTATTAGCTACAAAGCCTGTATCTTTTTCAGTATGCTAAATAATAGCATTTTTTCTCATGAAGGGTTTTGGTTCATGGCTGACATGTTTGCTTTCCTTGTCTAATGTTTCACATTCAACCCCGTAAATAGAACATTATTTGGTTGATGTGAGGGTTTAAGGGACAGCCAATGCAGTAAAAATAGTAAAGGAAGTTTTTTTCTATTAGCTACAAAGCCTGTATCTTTTTCAGTATGCTAAATAATAGCATTTTTTCTCATGAAGGGTTTTGGTTCATGGCTGACATGTTTGCTTTCCTTGTCTAATGTTTCACATTCAACCCCGTAAATAGAACATTATTTGGTTGATGTGAGGGTTTAAGGGACAGCCAATGCAGTGGTAC